AAGAGTACTGTCTCCTACAAGCCGCTTTCAGAATTCGCCGAATGTGTTGTAGAATACATTGCTGGAAACGTGGCAGTCAACTTTGCAAAAATGACCAAGTGCCCAGAGTGCTCTAAGATCGCACTTCTTACAAGTGCCAAGAGCGACCTTATACTGATCAAGGATGCTGGGGGGCTCCACAGCCCCTCACAGGACATCCTGGGCTTGTACAAAATAGCGGAGAAGGTGCTTCGCAGGCACTTTGACAAGGCGGCCAAAGGAGGTCGAAACTGGCTACAAAGACTGCAGGCAGAGGCAATGGCCATCATCTTCATGACCCCGCTGTTTAAGAGCTTTGACCACCTCTTCCTGGCACAGACAATCGACAACCAGTCCCACTGCGCAATTATGGTCAAGACAATGCTGGAATACTTCTTCAAGCTGCGAATCCACCACATGTGCCGTCAGCAGAGTGCCGCAGAAAGAGGTAGCACCATCCGACAGTTCTTGACGAAGCTGGTAATCTTTCGCGGGCATTGATAAGGGTCACGAATCCACTGCAGCACCAAGGCATTTTCACTCAAATGTCAGCTCTGTCGTGAAAACTGCACCCAAAACAGCTCTGCACGCTCCATGTAACATAATCACAAGAGACAATGATTTAATGAGCAAAGAGTGCCAAGAATGGAGCCAGAGATGGACAAGCAATATGGCAAGGTTGGTTTAGAGAGCTCATATGACCCTCAATTGGGGAACGAATAGGGCTCATGTGTGAACTCGCTGCCCTGCAACCTGCGGGAGCTTTGTGAGCAAAGGCGACACGACCTGCGAATGGGTGCACAAGAGCATCCCGAAGCTTGGTTCCAGAGAGAGTGCGACGTCCTCTTCAAGGAAGTGACTAGCTGGGGAACTACCTGCGCAACAAGGATGGAATTCTGCTTTCTGGCACTCCTCGACGGCCCCAAGGACCAACAACACTGCCAGTGCGACCACATCTCTAGGAATCGGGGTGCGACACCTGTCACACTGGAGTGCACATGTGCGTCAGAAGAGCTTGGAGGTCTGCTCAGCCTCGTCTTGCAAGCACCAAGGAGGCTGCGAGCTTTGCGTCCCTTCAGTGTGCTGCTGGACGACCGACGTGAGCCGCCTCTTGTATGTACCGAGCGACGCCGGGGCTGCATTGGCTCGGCAACTCGCTGGACCTGCGGGAGTTACGTGAGGAAAGGCGACACGACCTGTGAATGGGTACACAAGAGCATCCCGAAGCTTCCGCCCTGAGACAGTGCGACGTCGTCTTCTAGGAAGTTACTAGCTAGGGAACTACCTGCGCAAGGAGGACGGAATTGTGCTTTCTGGCACACCCCGACGGCCCCCAAGGTCCAACAAGACTGCCAGTGCGACACCGGTCTTATTGGAGTGCACATGTGCGTCAGAAGAGCTTGGAGCTCTGCTCAGCCTCGTCTTGCATGCACCAAAAAGGCTGCAAGCTTTGCGTCCCTCCAGTGTGCTGCTGGACGACCGACGTGAGCCGCCTCTTGTATGTACCGAGCGACACCGGGGCTGCAGTGGCTCGGCAACTAGCTGGACCAGCGGGAGTTACGTGAGCAAAGGCGACACGACCTGTGAATGGGTGCACAAGAGCATCCCGAAGCTTCCGCCCAGAGAGAGTGCGACGTCGTCTTCTAGGAAGTTACTAGCTGGGGAACTACCTGCGCAAGGAGGATGGAATTCTGCTTTCAGGCACTCCTCGACGGCCCCCAAGGTCCAACAAGACTGCCAGTGCGACACCGGTCTTATTGGAGTGCACATGTGCGTCAGAAGAGCTTGGAGGTCTGCTCAGCCTCGTCTTGCAAGCACCAAGGAGGCTGCGAGCTTTGCGTCCCGTCAATGTGCTGCTGGACGACCGACGTGAGCCGCCTCTTGTATGTACCGAGCGACACCGGGGCTGCAGTGGCTCGGCAACTCGCTGGACCAGCGGGAGTTACGTGAGCAAAGGCGACACGACCTGTGAATGGGTACACAAGAGCATCCCGAAGCTTCCGTCCAGAGAGAGTGCGACGCCGTCTTCAAGGAAGTGACTAGCTGGGGAACTACCTGCGCAACAAGGTTGGAATTCTGCTTTCTGGCACTCCTCGACGGCCCCAAAGAACCAACAAGACTGCCAGTGCGACCACATCTCTAGGAATCGGGGTGCGACACCGGTCTCATTGGAGTGCACATGTGCGTCAGAAGAGTATGGAGCTCTGCTCAGCCTCGTCTTGCGTGCACCAAGGAGGCTGCGAGCTTTGCGTCCCTCCAGTGTGCTGCTGGACGACCGACGTGAGCCGCCTCTTGTATGTACCGAGCGACGCCGGGGCTACAGCGGCTCGGCAACTCGCTGGACCTGCGGGAGTTACGTGAGCAAAGGCGACATGACCTGCAAATGGGTGCACAAGAGCATCCTGAAGCTTGCTTCCAGAGAGAGTGCGACGCCGTCTTCAAGGAAGTGACTAGCTGGGGAACTACCTGCACATCAAGGATGGCCTTCTGCTTTCTGGCACTCCTCGACGGCCCCCAAGGACCAACAAGACTGCCAGTGCGACCACATCTCTAGGAATCGGGGTGCGACACCGGTCTCATTGAAGTGCACATGTGCGTCAGAAGAGCGTGGAGCTCTGCTCAGCCTCGTCTTGCGTGCACCAAGGAGGCTGCGAGCTTTGCGTCCCTTCAGTGTGCTGCTGGACGACCGACGTGAGCCGCCTCTTGTATGTACCGAGCGACGCCGGGGCTGCAGTGGCTCGGCAACTCGCTGGACCTGCGGGAGTTACGTGAGGAAAGGCGACACGACCTGCAAATGGGTGCACAAGGGCGGAGGGGTCCCGCAAAGCTTGCTTTATGAAAGAGTGAAACATAGTCTTCAAGGGCATGCCTAGCTTTGGAACTACCTGCGCAACGGGAATGGAATTCTGCTCTCCGAGTATAATAAAGTGACTTGCGCACTGAACGTGACCCTATTCACTACAATTATCAGGCGCTGTGTCTAAAGATAGGTCTGACGTACCTATGATGCAAAATCTAAAGATACGTCAGACGTACCCAGGACGCGGAGTCTGTGTGGGGTGTCCTAGCGTGAGCAGTCGGACTGCGGCCGGACGCTCCCGCTGGTGTATTTACAGCAGTCCGAAAGCGTTCCACGCTTGGGTCTTATCGACCTTGCATAAGTGGCTGGCAGCCGCTTGGCCTGGCTGCCGTGTGATACACGGGCGTGTGCCTGTCGTGTGTAAAAACGCGTAAAGTGCCAAGAAAATCAAACATTGTGTCTAACAAACTACTGATTTCAAATTCCCCGACTTTTCCAAGTTTTTCCCTGACTATTTTGATCAAATTCCTCGAGTTTCTGAGTCGAAGGATGACATTTCGGCCATGTCATTCAGCATGGCCGTGCCGACGAGCAACCACCATGCCGCTTTCACTAGTCGTCTTCCTTTATTTGGCCCACTTTTTGAATATTCCCTGACTTTCCCGGATGATCCGAAATTCCCTGGGAGTTCAAGGCTTTCCAGGTTGGCAGACACCTTTTGGAAGTTCGGCACGCGTTTGCGGGGTTTAGTGATCGGGAAGCTGCTCGAAAACAACATAACTATAAGAGAAGCTGGTACAGTACTGCTTACACGACTGTCGCCCCTTCACAGAAGGCACACGGCAGGCGGCCGGGAGCCGCCGTCCGCCCGGAGTGACCGCCGTCGGTCTTTTTCACGGTACTACGGATCACATAGTGACGTGGTCGGTAGTTAGCTCAGCACCGAGCAGTTCGGAGATTTCAACACTTCTCTCGCTGCTTCAAATGCGAATCTTGACCGTCGAGCTGAGAAAATTGCCCGGGCACGTCCGCCGTACCGTTAGAACTCCGCGTTCTAATTACGTCTTACATACCTTTAGACTCCGCGTTCCGGATGGGTTCGACGTATCCTGCGACACAGCGATTATCGAGGAGCTCCCGTGGTTAACGATTGCGGATATTTTAATTAAACTCGAACGACCGAGCGATGTCCGAGGTAGTGATCCGAGCCCGTACGAGAGGCACGGGACCGAATCTGGCTTACTCTGAACTAAATAAAAAAGAAAAGCCTCGTTCCCTCGTACTTCACGTTATTCCTACGCGGGAGAGCACACAAAACCCTGAAAAACGGAATTCCGCACACGAAATCCACACACTCCGACCAATGTCCACAACGCTTCCGACACGCACTGGGCGCTGCCATCTTATCGTTGACGCCAGAGATTTGGTCTGGTTACGTCATAGGTTTGGCCTGGTCACGTGTCTAGTGGTCAAAATTGTACAACATGGCGGCGGCCAATTGGGGGTCACTTTCAGCTGCCAGTTTATCACTCTAAGGCCCTCTACCTCGTTGGCTACGGCCTTCTCTTCTAGGAGGTGTTGACTCGCGTTGTCGTAGGAAGAGCGCGCTCCCTTCCTGCCCCTCCCCCCCTCACCCTCGCCGTCAACCCCTTGCCGACACCCGCCGTTGCGAAATACCCACGTCATCGCGCTGTGCGGACTCGCTCCCTCGTCTCCCTACTGCCGCCACCCGAAGTATGTTTGCCAGCTGTTATGTAGAGGCGCTCCGTGCTTCTACAGAATAGGTTGCGCACATACTTTCATCTAGGCGCGGTTACGGGCGCCCCCGTTCTGAAAGAGCGCACATCTCCTCACACACGTCTCGCACATTGATTCCACTGAAAGAAAATAATCCATTGCAAATACTGTACAGCACACTGGCTGAAGGCAAATCTCCTCCAACATGCACTTCCAGAATGCAGCAGCTACCGCTGTAGCGCGCTGGTCGTTTGCAATTTTTATCATTTAAAATGCTCTTAATATATATATATATATATATATATATATATATATATATATATATATATATATATAATAGGCCTCCTGCGCTGAAGCTTTGAACGTATCGTGGCGCCCTCCGGTGGCGGGCGATAAAACGTCTGAGTAGTACAAGTCCCGCGGCGCCACCCGCCCCACGCGATAACAAACCTGCTCGGGCGGCTGTTTACTTCAACACGCAGCCGCTGTTATTTGTCCAAGCATGTCGAAACCGGCAGCAAGCAGCGCGAAACGTCGCCATCGACGGTACTGTTGCGTTGTGAATTGTCACGAACAGGAAGGGCTCAACCCCGGCGTGAGCTTCTACAGGTTTCCATCCAAACCGCACGAAGTCGAGCAGAGGGAACGCTGGATACGAGCCGCCCAGCGCACTGAGTAAGCGATACTCGTTTTTCTCGCCCTCCAGACTGTTCTGCTAAGGCACGGCCACTCGTGTTTGCAAATTTCAACAGACCCGATGGCAAGCCTTGGCAGCCGACACAAAACTCGAGGATGTGTAGCCGGCACTTCGTCGGCAACAAGAAGAGCAACTGCGTGGGCCATCCAGCCTACGTACCTACCATTTTTCCCCCGGCGTACAAACGACCGCTCCCACTCGACTCATCAAGTGGCTTGGAACGTTTTGACAGGTGCGGTTTGCTTTTAAGGTAATCTACAGCGTTGGCGAAATAGATTGAACTCACTTTTAACTGACTTCATAAATCGGTTTCTTAACTTATCGCGCTGAGATTTACTACAGAGGTGTCTTAAGTTGGTGGAAGCTTTCGCTAGAATTGTGGCAATATTCGCTCACCTAAGTAAATCAATAAAAATTAAAACAAAAACTTTCCCCTATTATTTGCATGTATACACCAAAAAATATATATACTGCGTTACTGTGGTGCTTATTTGTGCCACATGAAATGAAGAAAAGACAAGCCAACTCTATTTTGTTTCCAATGTCACGAATTTTTCAATCTCGATAAACGCCAGAATGGCCATCAACGATTTTCTGATAATTTCGTGATAAAAGGCTTGGCGATAATTTTTCCATTGACAAAACCAGTTTTTGTATTCTTTGACTCTAGAGGTTTCTTGTATTCATACTCTCAATTAATGAATGCACCAGCTTCAAGCACCTCTGTAGCAAATCCCAGCGCGATAAGTTAAGAAACCGATTTATGCGGTCGGTTTAAAGTGTGTTCAATCCATTTCACCCACGCTGTTGAGTAGTCGTTTTCTAAATGCAGCATTTTTTGTCGCAGAGTGGGAGAACATGCACACGGAGCAACTAGCACACAAGCCATTATTGCTTTCTTTTCTGGTCGAAGTACATCAAACGCTCTGTTGTGTAGCGAAAAGAGCTAATTTGAGGCGTCAATGTAGGTAGCATGACTTCAGACTCTCAATGCACTGTTTGAGTGAAATCCGAGAAAGCGGCAGTGTCGTGTTTACACTAAAAGTCGTGCTGCTCAGTTTTGGGTTCTAAATATTTGCTAACCTTCATTTCTTGTTGCTACGAATAGGTATCAGCATGCCTTAATTCACATGTATGCTATTCTCAGATGGCGGAAAAGACTTCAGAAAGCACCGGCAGTTCCAGCGCTGCACAGTGAGCCCTCAACATCAGGCACGGCCGCCACAACACCAGTCACGGTCGCCACATCGGGCACGGCCGCCACAACATCAGTCACAGCCGTCGCATCAAGCACAGCCATCACGACATCAAGCACAGCTCCCACAGCCTCAAGCACCGCACCGAGCCCAGTTTCCACCAGCGTGCCCCCGACATCAAGTCCTACATGCCAGCCAACATCCAGTGCTGAAAATCATAATGTAAGTTTGCAAAAAATGAAAAAGTCACAAGCATGGCAAATTTATTGAAGCCTGTTCTCTGCTCATTGATTTAGTTTGGAAACCAGTTGGTGGAAACCAGAGATTCATGCTCCTTTTCTACCTTTTACTTTTTTCACAGATCTCTGGTCCTGCTGATCAGGAAGGAGAGTGGTCCTCGATGGACATTGAAGAGGACCAACTCATCGGTGAGTGCAGCATGGTAAGTAAAGTAATATCACGAGATAGCCGAACAAAGATCGAGAGCAGGAAAAGTAAGAAGTGGGCACACTTTTGGTGCAGAGCAGAAAAAAAGCTAAAAATGTTGTAGGGTCAATGGCACAAAGTTTCTGGTTACGAGCTTGTGAGTTTGTTTATTTGGGATTGAGTTGGCGACCAAAACTATTTGCAACCTTCATGTTTGCCTCTAAACCCCGTGGGCTGTCAAACCTCTTACTGCGTTGTGGGCTGACTGAGCCAAAGACAACCATTTTCTTTGTTCCCCACAGTTCACTTACCTTCCCTCGTAACTTGCCCTGTTTCTGCAGAGGTCTCTGACTCGGGCAGTGCAATTTTTAGGCATTTGAAAATAAAAACCAGGGTGGGGCATTTGACAGTTGAACACCTCTACTACTAAATGGCCTGTTTAACAAAGATGATCTGGCCTCACTCAGGTTGCTGCCTGAACCAGGGCAATGGCTACAATGAAGTGACTGTTAAAATGAAGTGGTTTTATGGTACCAAACATTTAGTTGTACAAGTGTTCGACTGTACAACAGTGGCCAGGTTCTTCTTAATAATATAGCTAAAATTGTGGGCCAGGTTGTCCCATCTGAACAGGAGCAGCTCACAAGATCCCTGGGAGTTGGGCCTCATGCAAGAACCTGCTTCTTTGGTGGCTATGACAGCATAAAGCATAGCCCAGATGCACTGCGAAGCTTGTGCGGTGTTGACGGCAATGTGTTTGCTTTGCTGCTTAGCCTACTGCCAACGGTTCGAGACCGGGGGAGTGACGTTACAGTAGAAAACAAAATGCTGATCTTCCTCACAAAAATGAAACTGGGAATATCGTTTAGCGCTGTTGGAACTCTCTTCGGGGTCCACGAGACCACTGCCTGCCGTACATTTTATGCTGTGCTGTACACCTTGGCAGAGGTCACTAGAGGTTGGATCAGTAAGCCTCCTGTGAGCAACATCAAGCTTGCGCAGCCGCTTTGTTTTCAGGAAAACTATCCGGAGTGCACTCTCATTGTAGATTGCACAGAGATAAAAACGGAGACACCCCCCAACATTAGGCAGCAGCACGTACTGTACTCCTCGTACAAAGGATGCTACACACTGAAATTCCTTGTTGGAATCATCCCCAATGGAATGGTGGTGTTCAGGTCCAAACCGTACGGTGGTCGATGTTCAGACACATACATCACACTAAACTCTGGATTTTTGAATGTGCTCGAAAGCGACGACATGGTTCTTGCAGACAAGGGATTTCCTGGCATTCGCGCTTCTCTTGCCGACAGGGGGGTCATCCTTGTAATGCCACCATTCTCGGCGGGAAGCAACGTTCCATTCACTACCGAGGAAATGGAAGAGACCTACGCAGTTGCTTCGGTGCGCATTCATGTGGAAAGGATGATTCAAAGAATTAAGCTCTACGACATCCTTAACCACCGAGTTCCCATTTCACTGATACCAGCAATGGGAGACATTTTCCACATGTGCTGTGTTTTGGCCAACCTTCAGCCACACATTATCAGCTCGTAGCCTGTGAACTAACTTGAGAACCCTTAGGAACCTTTCATTTTTTTAAATTTTATTTTCATGAACTTCGTTGGTTTTTTGGCAGCACTTTAATTTTTGTGAGGATGCAACATTTGCAGATTGAAGACAATTTGCAAAAGATTGATCTCGCGAAGAAACAGTTCCATGGTGGCAAGTACAAAACATACCATTTTGGATCCCATAAATTTGTGCCCACAAAATATCTCGCAAACAGGCATGTTGAGAAAATCGCGAAATATTGAGGTAGTGAATATGTGCTCATTTATAGTATGATTTTTTTTTTTTTTTTATTATTATGGAGCTTAAAGGGGTTTGTAACGATTTCTGGACTTCGGTCAAAAAATTGTGGAAGTTGCCCTCCGACACTTCTGAAGTAAAGACCAGAAAACCGATTTTGCCTGCGTGTCCTAGTTGTGGCGTAAAAAAAAGATAAATATTGGCATTTCGGGCACCCTTCAACTCACTCCCAGTCTCCAGGGTCACACTCCTAGTGACGTCATTCGGAGTGCCGTGTAGGTTACCCTGTGGTATCTCGGAGGACGCTTCCTCTCCCTGTCTCTGCTGACATTAGCGGGCATTAGGCTGCAGGTTAGAGCTGAGCGAGGTCACGTAACCTTCTAGCCGTAGTTCCTTCAGCTGCCACTCCGGGCTGCAGGTGGGGGAAAAAGCTCGGCTTTTGCTTTGCGATTATGCAGCGGAATCGCAACATTTTGAATGAAAGTGATGTTTTCTCTATTCTCCGGGACGCGATAAACAATGTGAAAATGACGAGATGCAAATTTTTTTTAACCATAAAATCGTTGCACGCCCCCTTTTATCTGAGAAGTGTGAGTTATACAAAGGTGCAACTTGCACCAACTTTACATATAGATGGCCATTTATAGGGAATGGAACTTGTTCGATGCCAAGGCCGAAAACCAGCTGTTCTGTGCACCTTGTATCTGGAGAAGTAAATGCGTACTCGTCATAACAGACCACGCCTGCTGTTTTGTACCGTCACTCTTTCAAGTGGCAAGTGCAAAACAAATAGTTTAGCTTTATTATTGGCCACCATGTGGCTCTTGCCTGGGTAGTACTAACTATCCATTGGGCATGATTCCAATACAATTTGACCACCAAAACATATTTCAGCAATATGGCAAACTTCCGTGCCTCAAGTGATAGTGCATAGAGCTAGCTCAAGTCAAAGTCAAATTTGGGGGTTTTACGTGCCAAACCAACAACGGGCATCTGGCACGCCCCAGCGGAGGGCTGAGGATTAATTTGGACCACCTGGGGATCTTTTGACGTGCAACCGAAAGCTCGGTTACATGGCGCCTTCTCCGCAATAAGCTTCCGTCAGATTGCGGGCATAGAGCTAGCTCTCATATGCAGTGGGTCTAGTTGTGCATAATCAAATAGAAACAACTGCCTATCAAATCTCTCTAGCTATCCAAATGTGTGCTTGTACAAGCATTATTCAAATGAACAGAAATAGTTTGTGCACTATGTTTGTGAAAGTTTATACCTTCAGAGACGCTGTCCTTGCACTAGTCGAATGGGAGTATATCAAGGCACCGACTCGGCCCTTGTGCACCACCAAGGTGAGTGAAATTTAAGGTGGGCATTTGTCCAGTGCAGCAAGACCACTGACTCATTGTTTGTAACCTAATGAATGAACTAGTGGAAATGCAGCCTGCTTATATGTGTATGCTTCAAGTGTTGTGCACTTGCATGGCAATTGGGGTTGCATAATGATGCATTGAATGTTACGGAAGAGGCATTTCTGGCTTTCTGTCTGCTTGTGTGCATATGGGCTCGTAATCTTTATAATGCTGCATGACATTGCTGTGTATGGTTTTAGTTATTGACAATTGGGAATGCACAATGATTTTGTGAATGTTGCCATAGAGCTAATTTTAGTTTCCTGTCTGTTATTGTGCTTACGTGCTCACAGTCTCTATAACCCTGCACGAGCTTGCTTTCTGTGTGGTGTTTGTTACACATAAAATCTGATAAATATGTAATTTTTCCATCCAATAAACGTTATAAGATCAAACTTTGTGTGATACTCAATGGCTGTACATGTGTACATTCCTCCAGCAATCAACACTTGGCAAGGTGTCCACGGGCACAAGAATCTCCCCCCAAATATTGTTTTTAGAAACATTGTGTGTTGATTTTATTGGCACTTATAAACACAAGAACTATGGCAGATTTTGCATTAAATATGAGTTCTCAAGAAGTAGCTGTGACCAAGAAAGATTTTGGGTGTAAAAGAATAAAAAAACGCTTAAGCTTTGAGAAAACTCAAAATGAAATCCTTCATCTCCACTTGACAGCTATCACAACATTTTTCTTTGGTGAGTGAGTTTTTCTTAGTTAAACCGACCAAAAGGAAAACCAACATATATGCAAATGTTTCGTGGCCATCTTTAAAATAAATGATTTTTTTACAAAAATAATTATTTAGGTTGTAAAGGTTTAGAAAACTAGCTATTTACACCCAAATAAATTCGAAACTTCAGCAAAAAATGGCTTACTTTTGCTTTTTAGATTTCGCTTGTATAAAAGAAAGCTTGCATAAAACTCATTCTGTCTCGATGTGCATACTCCGAGTCTAGGACTGAAGGAGCTCCTTCAAGTAATATCTAAAATAGAAAAGCTCGAGCCTGGGGACAGCCTCTGAGAGAAAGCCTTCATCCCGCTCGACAAGTATGATGACATCCTGCTTCGACGAGTACACGTAAAAGAAGCATTGGGTAGTGTTTGTCACATACATCGCAATTTGCACCTGCGTGTAGTATGTGTGGCGCTTCTTCAGCATCAGACGCCCCTCTTCATATACTATGTACTTGACAAAGCTTTCTTCCTTGCTCACATCGATAAGAACCTTGTTTTTCCTTGAATAGGGACACTTAATTTCCAGTAGTGTCGTCTCGTCGCTGGTCTTGAAGAATCCGTCGGGGCTGGCACACAGCCATGGCTGCCTCAAGTGCACTATCAAGCCAACCTGAGTTTATATTGGTTGTGACATTAGGGTGATCATGCACGCTCACACACACTTCTTCAATAGAACTGGATAGGCAACAATAAAAACAGAACCACAAGTTTGGGAGACAAGGGTTATAGAAAATTTAATAAGAAATTGTTCGCCAATAACACTTCTTCTCACTTTTGCATACAATTTCATTGAAGAAAACTGCTTGGGGAGCACCAAGTAACACTTGTGTCTGCCATGCAAAGGTTTGAATCCTACCATAACGAGCACCTCTCCATTCAAGATTTCTTTTGGCTATTAAAATTAGACGTAAAATCTATGGCTCAATGCTGCTCCAAAAGTGAAATAAACTTCACTATGCCTTGTTTCAGCTTAAGTCGGAGCACAGCAAACACTACAAGCCGATGTAGCCTGCAAAAGCACAGCCTCGCTGTATTCATCATTCCTCTGTGCGTGTTGCACCTTGCACTTCTTTCTGTGTTGGTACGGTATGTCACCTAGCCTTTGACTGCTTCAACTTAAGTGCCGTTCACACACTTGCAACCGATTTGTACCGAGATAGTCAAGAGAGATTTTTAAGCCTCTTGTGACAGCATAGGACCAGAGGCACTGCTACGGAGCAGGTCCTACGCCGACGCAAGACACCTAAAAACCGGTCTTGTCTCCCTCGGTCCTACTCGGTTGCAAGTGTGTGAAAGGCGCTTTATGGTGAAACAGAGCATAGTTGCACCTTTCACTCACCTGTGTAACGGACGCACCAACCTTCTTCTCAAATACTTCTCTGGCTTCAGCTTCTGTCTTTCGTCCTAATAAAGATAAGCAGGATAAGGATGCCACTTAAAATAAGCATGCCACCAAATGTGCACTCGGTGCATGTGAATACTGTTCAATCATCTTACCATACGTCACAGCCTTTCCAGTGAATGGCTTTCGGTGAAGTAGCTTTTGGGCAAGGGTGTCGAATGGCCGCCTTCGAGCGACGACTCTGTGGGCGATGGAGCTCGACAGCCTGACTTCACGTTCGCTGAACCACCTGTATGTAAAGACCACATTGAAAATTTGATTACTATGTGCTGTACATATTCATTGCATAATACCAACTTCACAAAACAAAAGGTCATATATTTTTATCGAAAAATTAAAACGCACATGCCTTTTCGAGCCTGCCTGAAGCACTGTGTCCACAGCAATGCACTCGGCACCTTGCTGCGTGCACGCCACTTTGGAGGAGTATAGTTCCCTCTCAGCTGGCGTCATCTCCTCCTCCAGGTTACAACGGACAAGTCTCAATGCAATGGACGACTCGAAATTTACAGTCATTACGTGATAAACAGGCATGCAATTTTCCCACGTTATCATTTTTTGCAGGCGCGCAAGCTCTATCTGGTGAAATACCGCACTCAAGACATCTGAGATCACAGATTTCGCCTCTCTTTCAGTGGTGGTCATGGCACCAATCCGTGCCATGTCGTTGTGAGGGCACGCAATTTCTGGGAACCTGTTTAGGACATATGACGGTGGAACTTGATCAGGCCGTGCCCCACCAACAAACAGCTCCTTTTTACCTGCGAAGAGCAACTTGATTAGATATGAATGACATCATGGAACACAACTGGCAGAGAATGCAATTACAGGTACAAAAACCGGAATGAAATCTCAGTTTCAGGCCAGGAGCAAACAATATATGAGGCTTACGTCCGAACAGTTCCTCAATCGATTCCTTTGCGTCAATGTTTGGTTTTCGAGAGGGCTGGCCCCAAGCCTGTGGCAGTTCTGTTTTGGAGAGGGGCTGCTGTTCACTAATCCATAGTGCCACGGCAGCAGCATGCTTGCATGTGCCGGGGTACCCTGCCTTGCAAGTGCACTTCCCATTGCAGATATGACGGTCAGGGGCAAGCTGAAATTGAAAGTAAATAGCCAACTCATCAAGACGTGTACTGCGCATTTAGCGGCTGCATAACCATACATGCTCCCGACAAAACATAGTGAGCAGTCAATTACGAGCTCACCAGCATCGAAAGTCGGCATATTGAGCATTTTATTCTGACACACATCAAAACATTTTGCGAACAGGAACATGCTATGCTGCCTGACCAGTGGAGCGAACTGATTGTTTTTTCCCCTCTTAATATATATAATATATATATATATATATATATATATATATATATATATAAATATATATATATATATATATTTTTTTTTATTATTTATGCATATGTAGGCATGTACGTGCCCCAGGTTGGGTACACAACTTCTTTCCGGTATGGGCAGCATTGCCTTTTCTGGCCCTGTACGAAAATCCCCCCCCCCCCCCCCCCCCCGAGTACAAATAAAGTATCATTATTTTTTTTTTTATTAAAGTCTTTTCCAACATGAGATCAGCAGTAAAAGCGCCGCTTCCAGCGAGAGCTTTCTACCTTCGAAAAAACAAGCGTGCGCGGGTACCAAAGCTCTACAGAGGGCAACAAGCATATGCTAAAAGCTGAGCTCCTACTGCTGATCTTATTTTGCGTCAATATTACCGCGCAAATGCGCAAGAAAAGCTGCAAGAGCTCGAGAAACAGCGCGCAGTAGGAACGATGTGCTCGGCCGACAGACGGCCGGTCGCCGCTCGATCGCTTGCGTCTGCTTTTGCGCATTTTGGAGGTTGGTCATCAGCTGATCTTTTTATATGTACAGAGGAACTGCGCGTTAACGCGTCAACGTATCTAGTAACGCTTACCTCAAGCTCGATGTCGTAACAAGCTCGCTGTACTTGCGAGTGGCAGCGCGCAGACACCACACTGGCGGCTTCTTGTACGGCGTACACATAGCCTGCATCGCTCAGTTTTCTCCCTTTCCGAAGCGTTGAAGAACGAAAAAAGCTTTCTACGTTCGAAATTGGCTCAATTCCGTGCCGCAGAACAATTGAAAGGGGGGAATCCATACCGCCTACTGACGTTTACACGCGGGACAAATTCAAATGCGCGATTTTGTACTACCCAATACTTGTAAACAAATCATAGGGGGCGCTGCCAGCCGGTTTTTCCGCAGCGCCTCCTGGGCAAAGCAGGAGGCCTTTTGCCAGCTGTTATGTAGAGGCGCTCCGTGCTTCTACAGAATAGGTTGCGCACATACTTTCATCTAGGCGCGGTTACGGGCGCCCCCGTTCTGAAAGAGCGCACATCTCCTCACACACGTCTCGCACATTGATTCCACTGAAAGAAAATAATCCATTGCAAATACTGTACAGCACACTGGCTGAAGGCAAATCTCCTCCAACATGCACTTCCAGAATGCAGCAGCTACCGCTGTAGCGCGCTGGTCGTTTGCAATTTTTATCATTTAAAATGCTCTTAAAAAAAAAAATATATATATATATATATATATATATATATATATATTTTGAAAATGAAAATTTCGATTTATAGCCATGCATGAATTAAAACAAACTCAGCACATAAAAGAAAACAGATATGAAGTTTTCCATAGTTGCAGACTAAAAATAAATAATACTGACAAGAAAAACGAAACGTCCAGCGTTCGCGACTGTGCTACAATATGAGTGAAGGGAAAAAATCTGAAAAAAAAAACTGACGAATGGTAATACACAAGCCGGGTGAAAACTAAACTAAAAAGAATATAACACGTCATAGACATATACAACATTAGTTGCTACCAGTGCGTTTTAGGTTGCACAGTATCTCGACTTCACCAGTATATTAAAAAGAAAAACATTTTTTCTTAGTCTCTTTCTGGATATCCTTTTCACCAGTAATGTATTTTAACTGCCAAGCAAAAACTCGCCTAGCTCAATTTCACCCAAAACCGCCACCGGAAACGCCGTCGAAGAGTTGAGCATACCAGGGGAAATGAGCTGTCTTGCAATGCTTAAAAAACCCAGTCGTGGAAGTAGACGATTGAGCTGGGGTTGCCCGTTTTCTTCTGATCAGTGTTGTAGACGTTACCGAAAAGAAACAAACGAAATACGTTGCTCGTTACTTGTAAAATAAAGGAACGCGTTAGCGACCCACGTTACCTCAAAATAAACGGAGCGCATTACCGTAACAGTGACCGATAAAAATTAGCGCACGTTATATTTGTGATACCTTTTATTTATAAATTGACTGTAACAGGGTCTGCCTCGCGACAGCGTTCTTCGATGCGCATGATGGTGTGTTTTTCACGCTGTCTGATTGGTCCCATGAGCTCGTAGCGTCGGCTGCGTCTGGACTTAAGGTAATACAAAATATAAAAACACCAACAAATTAAGTGTACTTTTTTCGAGTTGTGGGAACAAAATGTAACGAGTAACGTAACTACGTTACCCGTCACTAGAAATATGTAACGTATGTACGTTACCCCTTACTTTTCTGAAAAAATGAAAGCCGTTTACAACTCCCTGTAACACCGAATTAGAGCGCAGCTCTTGAGGAGGAGGAGGGAAGGGTACTAGGGGGTGGGTCAAGTGACCTCGGGTGGCGGGGGGGGGGGGGTCACGTGACATTGGGGGGTCACGTGACCTTGTGGGAGTCACGTGACCTTGGGGTGTCACGTGACGTTGGGGGGTCACGTGACCTGGGGGTCACGTGACGATGCTGATGCCGTCATTAGTGACGTCACTGATGACGTCATCAGTGACGATGCCGATGTGGATACCGATGACGTAATCAGTTATGATGACGATGATGATGCGGACGCCGGTGACGTCATCAGTGACGTCACTGATGACGTCATCAGTGATAATGACGATGACGATGCGGATGCCGGTGGCGTCATCAGTGATGATGACGATGACGATGCGGATGCCGGTGACGTCATCAGTGACGTCACTCATGATGTCATCAGGGATGATAACGATGAGGATGCCGGTGACATCATTAGTGACGTCACTGATGACGTCATCAGTGGCGATGACGTCAACGGGTGGGTCACGTGACCTCGGGGGTCACGTGACCTGGGTAACCATCGTGACCCTGGTGAGGGTAATCCTAGTAACCCTTGTGAGGGCGACTCTCGTGACCCTCGTGAGGGTAACTCTAGTAACCCTCGTGAGGGTAACTCTCATAACCCTCGTGAGGGTAACTCTCGTAACCCTCGTGACCCTCGTGAGGGTAACCCTTTGAGGGTAACTAACCCTCCTAACTTTCGTGAGGGTTACGAGGGTTAGTAACCCTCGTAGCCCTCATGAGGGTAACCCTCGTGAGAGTAACCCTCGTAACCCTCACGAGGGTTATGAGGGCTACTCGCGGTTACGCCGACGGCGACGCCGACGGCGACGCCGCTCAAGCCGGGAATGGGCGCCTAAGAGCTGCGCTCTAAAAGTAAAGAGTACGTTGTTACGTCATGGAAAAAAAGTAACGAGTTATCGGTAACGCCGTTACTTGTAACGAGTTACATCCAAAACTGCCTTTGATTATATGCATTAACTAGGTTTTGAGCGTTGGCGCCTGCTTGTCTTAGTTGGTGCTCAAGTTGAAACATCTGGTTTTAATTCATCCCTACCCAGTGCTTCCCACTTCCGGAAACTTGGCACGTGGTTTACAGAAATTTTGAGTCAGACCCAGTTTTCGGCGATACTGCGAAATGCCTCAGATACACCGCAACCGGTCCAGCAGCAAACGGCGGATACCCGATTCGCGTAGAATACAGGGGCCAAACTTTGTGAGTAAAACGGAATTATATGACAATATCTATTGTGTAAAAATATCGAGAAGCGTATAACCTTCCCCTCATTTAATCGACAGAACACATATACGACGTCTTCATCTACGTCTTCCAAAGTCTAGTCTATGAAAAGTGACCGTTCATCCAATATTGAATTATTTCTTAATACTGCAGACACATTTTAGCCCACGTAAAGGTCAACGATATATAAATATAAAATAAAGAAAACACAAAGAACAGCAATATAACGAGATATAAAACATTATATTGCAAAAGCGACATCAATAAAGCCACATGTACCGGAATATAACGAGATTGCAACCTCCAACTTTGCAATAAATGTTTCGACGTTTGTTACTAGCAGGTGTGTTTTTTTTTTTTCGGTAGCTAATTACCATCAATCATTGACCAGGAAAAACAAAAATAATGATGTATCATTATATGTGCGGGACTCCCTGATCACTTTTCCGTTCTTAAAACTGGTGTTTACTCGCCACGGCAAAGTGGCACAAAGATACCTTGTTTCGCGCTAATATGCAGTTCTTTGCCAATTGCGAGTGAATCTAGCTTTAATCCTCGTTTTATTTCAAGTATATATACACCCTTTAACAGAATGGGGTCGAAAAGAAATGAAGCGTAATTTAGATAAGACCCGGCGAAGGTTTAGTAATTGGCAAGCTTCAGTCGCAGTGGGGCTGTAGAGATCTTACGTCGGTTGTTCCATAGGGCTCAGAGAGCGCCAGAAAAATGTAATGGGCGCGGTCATTCTAACGTAATAGACCTTTTCAAAAGTTCGTCAAGCAACATTGGCGGTCGCCATTGCTTGGACACGAAGCGCGTGACTGGATTCGAGTCATCGCCGAACGCTGACGTCAGCGCTCGTATCCAACA